GCTTTGATTATTCTGCGACTCCGTTTTTCCTTTTCTTTAGTCGATATTGGGTTCGGAAACTGTGGTCTTGCGTTCGTTCGAAATTTTGCGATCGATTCAGAACGGTGGTTTGTGGACTTGAGACTGTCTTCTCCGCCTCCGGTTTTTCGGTTGGAGACGTCGGTGTTTATGGTCTCGCTGGACCGAACTTGTGAACAATACTCGGAACGAGCGAGCATATCGCTCGTGGGACAAAAGGAATCAGGAGCTCGCCATCTTCCTCTGCCTTTTCTGTCCTTTCGTCTTCTTCCCCTCGATTCTCTGTGTCCGCGCTCTCCCTCGTCCATCGCCTCCTCGCTCGTGTAGTTCGATCTGTATAACCTATTATTCTTCCGGAAAAAGTTATCGACCCAACTAGTTTCTCCAAAATTTTCGTAATCATTCTCTTCACGTTGCGATTGATTTCTCGATCGATCCTCCTCTTGCAAATTGAACCTACTCCTACGGTTGTTCTCTCGTTTCAACAACTCTTCGCACAGAAGGATCTCCGTGCTGTTTAAATCATCCTTGATCGGAAAAAAACGAGGCATGTGTCCGATTTTTACGTTCGGATCCGACGCGAAATCGGAACCGGTACAAATAAGTCGTTTGCGTTTGGAGCAAAACGACGCTGCCGATAAAACAGCATCAATTCCCTGTGGTCGTATTTTTCCGTCGCATTTCGATTCGCCGACGCATCCTTCCGACCAGCTTTCCACGACACGTTGATTCTCTTTTACGGCGGCGTCGAAATGACCGACTACTTTCGAAGCGCTCGAATCTTCGGGGACGTTGGGAGCTTTGCGAGCTTCCTTGCGGGATTTACTCGATTCTTTCTCTTCCTTCTTTTCCATCTTTTAGTTTGAGATGGTCACAATTATTGAAATGCAGTCGGCTGCTTAACAATGTTTAACCTCTTGCACTATTTATTAGGTTAGTCAGAAGTAGAGTTACAATATTAACCCCTTGCTATACAATTTGTCAGTCAAAACTCATAGCTAAATTAAAAAATTGATCAGAGTTGAAGGAATGCGTCATGAGTGCGTCACGAGTGAGACTCGTCAAAGTACAAGAATTTAATGTAACTTCGAAAGCTACAGTATACAACAGATAAAGAAAGTTAAAATGTATTAATCCGAGAAAAATTGATCAGGGTTGAAGGAGTGCGTCACGAGTGCGTCACGAGTGAGACTCGTCAAAGTACAAGTTTTAATGAAGCTTCAAAAGCTACAGTATACAACAGGTAAAGAAAGCTAAAATATATTAATTCGAGAAAAATTGATCAGGGTTGAAGGAGTGCGTCACGAGTGCGTCACGAGTGAGACTCGTCAAAGTACAAGAATTTAATGTAACTTCAAAAGCTACAGTATACAACAAGCAAAGAAAGCTAAAATATATTAATTCGAGAAAAAATTGATGAGGGTTGGAGTGCGTCACGAGTGCGTCATGCGTAAGACTCCTCAAAATAGTGCAAAGGGGTTGTAACTTACTTTGCGATGAAAGAGTAATTTACATTAAAAAATGCAGCAGAGAGGTTTTTTCAATCTATTTCACTTCGAAGCAGCCACGCTGGTATGGATGCAGTCCACATATGTGCATACAACATAATCGACTATAATCGTAATAGATTCCTTGTCAATTTGATTTTGGGACCAAACTACTTGTCCCATCACTCAAACACATGCCTGGATAGTACAAGAGTTACTAATATTTAGGTTACATTTTTAACCTAATATGAAATCTATGAAGTTCGATCCATATCGAAAGATTTGTTTTGTTCAAGAAAATAAAAGAAAGCACATTTCTTTTTCGAGGATTCTCATCTTGCATCCCCATTATAGTTATCATTCTCATCCCCATTATCGTTATCATTCTCATCCCCATCTTCACGTTTCACGATGCCAAATGCTAGTTCGAAAGACCCCACCGAAAGACTAAAGGCTTTCAAAGAAGACTTTCTAAGATTCGTCGAGACACGTCCCATCGAAATTGCAACGATCATACTCGTCTGCGGATTCCTTTACTGGATTCGACAATTCGTTCCTATGTAAACTTCAGTACGTACTTGTTCAGCGATAACAAATTTTTATGTGAAACTCTGTAATCGCAATTCTCTTCACGGCGTTTCGCCTTCCAGTACTCGATTCCAGTGACCGAAGAGATCAGGAAATGGTTGCTCCAACAAAAAACCGCGAACGTTCCTTTCGATGAAACCCATTCTCGATGCAAATCGAAGCCGGTGCGACACGCAGTCACGCGATCTTACACGGAATATGCAGATTTTGCAGCTGATTTTCACCGAATCCAGGTTACGACACAAGGTACTTGGATACGACGGTTTACTCATATGTACACTTAAACGTTTCATCACTTCTTCAAATTTATGAAGACTTTAATATTCTGGGAGCCTCAAAGACTTCTAAGCATTTTATTTTCTAAACATTCTGAATACTTAAATATTCTGGGAGCCTCACACTAGACTTCTAAGCATTCTATTTCCCAAACATTCTAAATACTTAAATATTCAAGGAGCCTCAAACAAAGACATTCATAATCCGCCACATTCTTAGCACTGCAAGCTTTGCACTTAAAATTAAAAGTAACGAAATATGTGACTGATATCAAACCTTAACTTTTTATCGCAGATTTCAAGCATCTGAAATTATGTTTATAGATCAAAACTTGTAGAACACTCTTGATAATTAAAGTGCTAGATCCCAAATTTCTATGATCCCAAACTTCTACATGTCCAAACTATGTTCCCAAACATATCCAAACTTCCGTCCCTAAATTTGACCCTCCCATCTTTTCAAAGCACCTCTCCAAATTCTTAACTCGTCAAGTACCACAGGGAATATAGATTTGTCCTCGAGTGCATCTCGCTTTCTGTTTGTACATCGTTACGTCGTTGCGTACACACGAAATCGAATAAATATTCCAAAAGAACCCTGCGTCGCTGCAGAAAGGTCATCGTAAAAAAACCGACTTCGAAGGTTTAATTAGCAAGACCGCGGTAAACCGAATTATCGGCATATTTGGTGCACGGTGTCGTGTTGCTATACGCTCCCTATTGTTTGTTAACGCGGACCGAATTTTCACGCAACAAGCGAACCTGTAATCCGTTTCTATACCGTTTGTATCTTCCGCAAATAAAATTATCTCTGATATTTCTAAAAAGAACCTTTTTCCTCTTGGTTCAAGATACCTCCGCATTTTTAACCGACTTCGTTGCTCATCGAAAGATGTTTTCCGTACAAGCAGAAGGTTCATTTTAAAACAAGGAGCAAAAGAAAGAAGGTATCCTTATCAGCGCGTATTTGCAAAACCAGGAATTTTTCTCCTGGAAAGAGATATTCTTGTTCGTTTAATGATACGCTTGCATACACGTGATCGTTCGCAGAGCAAAGTTAAGATAAAGTTAAAGGTAACTATAATGGCGATTGCAAAGGTTATCCTTTATTTCTTCTCGTGACGCAAACATCCGATACGCGGATTGATTATCGTTACGAGAAGAGCAACGATTCGGAACCGTTTCGGAGCGATTCTTTCCTTCATTCCTCCATCCCCATTCAACCCCGATGCTCGGCTGTAAATTGCAACCTTCCCATGCACCGGCTATTTTTGTTTTACCTTCGAGAGAAAAAAACATCAGGCTGGTTTTGACAACGGCAACCGATGCTCTCGTGAGTTACCAATTACCTCCCGATCGAAAAATGTTTATCGATTCGATACGCAAACGAACGTAATCTCAAACAACGCAGGTAACTAGCGAGGAAAGGTGAAATTACCTTCGACCGGTTTCGTGGAAGGTTCGTTGAATACGGATCATCGATTTTAAGAGAAAATGCGGAGTGGAGGCTCGTTTCCAACGATTACACGAGCGACCGATCCGTGAAGAAAAGCTGGCTCACCGCAGAATCTATACGACACCACCTGGAGCACCCTGCTTTCCCTTCGATCTCCTCTCCTTTTCTCCCTCGACCCAATCCCTCCTTTTTTCTCTCCTGTCTCTTTATCGAGTCGAGAAATCCTCGCTCCGTTTATTCCGCGTCAACCGAATAACCTCGACTAACGTCAACTTTTCGATCGCCACTTTCTCCCCAATTTCATTTCGAAAAACCGGTTTTCTTTTAATTACATCGTTCTCTCGTTACCAGCTTAAGCTCTCAAGAACAAACTCTCAAGCTTTTCCAAACTTTTACCTTGTTCGCGTTCCACGCCAGCTGCATTCTCTTTAACGAGTTTCACCAAAGAAAATAAACACGAGCTCAAAAACGAAGTCCTGCAACAGTCTTGAACTATTCGACAAAAATTATCGGGGGGATCGATAACGCTTGCTCGCAAAGTCCGATTCGACAGCGATTAAATTATCCTCCAATGGGGAAATCGAATTCGATGGGAATATCGGAAGAGAAGGCCATGTCGACGTTACGAAATAAAATTTCCGATTTACGACCCTTTTTTCGAATTCCAACACTGACGGATTGCCATCACTGCGCCATGAAACTTGCATCAGTCCGACATTTTTGGACAGTAGTATCGTATGTTTGATGGAGAAGAATGGGTGCAGGAAGTAGACGCTGAAACAAGATGGCCGCCAAGGTCCAAGTGCTACCAGCTTCATTTGCGATATGTCAATGTTGAAATGTGTTAGAAATTGTAAATATACGAAACATCATTATTCTTGATATCACTTTTTATTGTATAAAATCTTTTATACTTACCTCTCATATTTTTATAAAGTCTTTTTACTTATCCTCCTCCTTAAATCAAAGATGATAAGAAAAATGAGGAGATAAATAAAAAAATGTTGTATTGATAAACTTTGTTGAATGCTATTACTTTTTAATGTATAAATTCTTTTAACTTTTTACTCATCCTCTTGCTTAAACCAAAGTACAAGTTTACAAACTATTGTAAACTAAACTTGACTAAAGTTTTAAACAAAACTTGTGCTAAACGTCGATCGAAACTTGTTACAGAATGATCATCCGTTCGATCGCGTTGCTGATGGTATCACTAACGTTCGCGTGCGCCGAAGAGTCGGACATCCTCGAAAAACGCGTGTCCATGGGTTTCCAAGGAATGCGCGGCAAAAGGGAGTTCTTGAGCGACGAGCTATCGAAACGAGCGCCGATGGGCTTCCAGGTAAAACTGCAACCCCTCAGTCCATCTAAAGTTGTTCGTTTTCTGTAAACACTGCGTTACAGGGTATGCGCGGGAAGAAAAGCTTGGAGAGCGAGCTTGCGGAGGCCATCGACAAGCGTGCACCGATGGGATTCCAAGGCACGAGAGGGAAAAAAGATCCATTGGCTAGTTTGGAGTACTATGACTACGAGAAGAGGGCGCCGATGGGGTTCCAGGGTATGAGGGGTAAAAAGGAGGACTATCGCAAGCGTGCTCCTATGGGATTTCAAGGAATGAGAGGCAAAAAGTCTTTGGAACAGGTACTAGAAATTTGGAAAAGAAAGTTGACATTCATGTAATGTTCCACCGATTTTCCATAGATTTTGGATGAACTTAAAGAGAGAAGGTTCCTGGATCCGCGAGAGAATTATATTAACTCCGATTATCCGGAAGAGAAGAGGTGGTATCAAGGTGTTTGCGACGAAAACGATGATCCGGCAGAATGGGAGAAAAGAGCGCCCATGGGATTCCAGGGAACCAGAGGGAAGAAGATTATTCTCGACGCGTTGGAGGAACTGGAGAAGCGAGACATGGATTTTCAGGTGAGCAAATTACTCGCTAACTTCCCTCTCGGTCGCGATACGCTTTATGTTGCTTTACAGGGATTGCGAGGTAAGAAGGATCCGTTCGACGATTACTTAGATTACTCGATCAGTCCGTCCGATTACGAGAAAAGGGCGTTGGATTTGCGAGATAGCGAAGGTAGCGAATCCTTTAAAAGAGCCCGGATCGGCTTTCACGGGATGAGAGGTAAAAGAGACGCGGCGAAAATTTACGGATCCAATTCGAGCATCGCGAGAACGACGATGGGATATCGCCAGGGTAAACTCTAAAACAGACTGCGATTAAACGAGTAGAGACACAAATAACTCTGTAAACAGGTAGCGATCGTGAGAACGAGCTGGCCGCGTACGGAATCGACAAACGATCACCCTTCAGATATCTTGGCGCTCGAGGGAAGAAAAATCCACGCTGGGAATTCCGAGGGAAATTCGTCGGAGTGAGAGGCAAAAAATCCTCCTCGGGAACCGTGGAACGAGTCTTTTAATATACCCGATCACATCGAAAGGATGCGCATGGATGAAGATTCGTTGACGTCATTAGGTAATTTACTCGACTTTTTCTTGCGACTAGAAGGGTAAATTAAGGATTTCGGTTTCAGATGTTCGACGGTAGTATCGTTGTTCCCGTTGCTAACGTAGCAACAATAATCACCGTATAGCGTTAGTCTTCTTATCTGAACGCGTCAACGAACAACGGACGATACGCGTAACAACGGAGGATAACGTATCGATTTCATCGACTACCGTTACGTTTCCTTTTGTTTCATTGGCTTATTTACTCTTTATTTATTATACGTTGAAGACTCGCATCTACGCGTCGATCGACGTCCATGGCGACACATCCTTCGAGAACGGAACGTTAGATAATATCGAGATAGTTCTATTTTTCTCTGAATGTTAAATCGTTGAGAATCGGGATACATTCCGTGAGTTACCTGTGTCTGTAAAGTTTATTTACGATCATAAGTGTACAGATTTTACGTTAGAAATGTTAGATAAAAGTGTACGAGAATGCAAACGGTACAACGATCGGTGTAACGCCATTCGGAGCCAACCTTGTTTCTTTCTCTTTTTTTTGTTGTACTTTTTACGTCGAACTAATTAATCTTCTGGTACCCGTTGGCCGCGTTCGTGACCGAAACGTCGTCGTAGATAATTTATAAAACGTATAATTATCGCTTTTTCGTCCCCTGTCCGGCCGGTATTCGTACACGCTCCTGATTCCTACGAAACGAGCGGCCCGAGGAAATATAATAAACGTTTCACGATTCACCCAGTTTACCCAGTTACATTTTTCAGCGGGCAAAGTTGCCGCGTGCGAAGAATTATGGGAAAGGAACGCGTATCGTGTACGCGATATACATACGTGTGATTATCGTTTGATAGATTAAACATGTTACGTGTCTATGTACCTACGTCTAATCAAATACATATCAATAAAGCAACGCATTATGTTAATCCTATGTCTGCAATTATCCCGATATATTTTAGTTTTCAACTTCCATATATATTTTTTATCGAGTACGTCTTTGAAAAATTTGCAGCTATTGTATTTGTTACGAGTCAGATAGTCGAATTGATAATATTCACGTTTCATTCTTATATTTTATATATTTCAAAGATATACAATGGTCTACGGTAATAAAACACAGCAAAAGATTAAAGAATTTTGAAAAAACACTTGTTACTGTATTTAAAGATTCAAATTTCCCGCGCAACGGCGGAAGCGACCGTGGCGCCCCCTGTCCGTCAAACGGGGTGAACTACAGCCATCTGGAGCACCCGCTTCGTTAGTTCGTAAAACCGCCGCTTGGCGGCGCCACTTGCAACATTTTATAGTTAATTTGTAGGTAAAATCAATCCCTATTTTATATCTGTAGATAAATTTAGGTGCAAACAACTTGAAATTAATTGCCTTTGCACTAGAAATGTAATTTAATTCATATTGCAGTCAATAATAAAATCAATTTTATTGAATTGAATCGAAAACGATACACACGGCGCCATCTTGTGGCGAAATGTAGGAACTAATGAAACTACAGTTTCAAAAGTGTGTAGTTCACCCTGTTCGCCGGAGAGATGGCGCCACCAACATTTTAAAATTAATTAATTAAAAATACCTTTCTCCGACTAAAAACGATATTTTTTATATAAATGCGATCATTTTTATGTTCTTGTTTAGAAGGAGAAATATATATGTAAATTAAAAAGAAAAAAAATTATTATATCAGAAGTCAAATAGAACAACCATGTCTACCTATGATAACAAAAAAAATATTTCTCAGGTATATGTACATATATAAATAAATACAAACAATTCAGCACTGACAATTGTATATTTTATTCGTTAAAAAATTGTTTTCGTTCGGTTGGCTAGCATGTCGATTATCGACTAATGTCAGGGAGAGTCCCTAACCTCTAACGTCAAAAACTTTGCGATTCAGAAATCCTATTTGGTGAGTAGTTTTACCAAAAACAACGAAAGAAATAAACGCAATTGGCGCTCTAGTCGTATGTTTGTATGGAATTTTTTAATTAAAATAAACAGACATAGGTTAGATTGTTTTGCTAATTTCATATCGATTTATTTAAAAATGAAAAGGTTCGACAAAACGATATTCTGGATTATTTCGTTCCTTCGAAAGGAAAACAACATAATAAAGTCTTGCCCTTCTCAGTGTCTGCTGGGATCGCAACAGTGTTGTCGAAGCGAATGCCATTCAGTTTGATACTCCTTTTTCCGGCCCATGAAACGTATTCAGGTTTCTTACATATTTCGCGAAGATTCATTCTTTTTTCGACTATCGGCCTGCAACAAGAACAAAATAAGAAGATACACCTTCATAGTAGATCGGGAACACCATAAAGTTACAAACATAATTCATAACGAAGTTACAAACCGTCCGTCAACGTCTGACGAATCATCTTGGTTGGTTTCGTTGTAAAGGTGACCCGAAATTCGATAGATGAAATTATTTTCTTTGTCATCGTTCTTTCCATTATTTTTTCCCTTGGTGGTTTCATGCACTGGAAGAAATGGCCAAATATATACGAACAGTCAAACGCAAACAACTTCGCGTTCATTTGTTCATTTGAAGATGCCACATAACGTTTATGCAAAAGTCGGTATAACAACATTCATAAAGTAGAATTATATTTTTCCAGCACCTTTATTTTCTTCGTTATGATAACTTCGACCAAAGATAATGTCACCCATACATTTAATGCTTGAATCAACAGAGCTTTAATTCACAAAAACAATATTTCAACACTTAACTACAGTTTAATATTTTTGCCTTCACTTCCCGAAGTACAACTACCCCTAACATTATAATTTTCATAAAACTCATCATTTTTAAATCAATTTCCCCGTAAATCGTCATATGACATCTTCATTTAGTGAAGTTCTTTAGTCGCAACCGACCTTTGTAAACGTCAAGTACAGGCGTGTACATGCGTTCTTTCAAATACGTTAGAAATTGTTGTCGATCGTTTTGCCGTTCCGATCTTTTTCCTCCCCAACTGTTAAACGGAAGCTTCCCTCTGTCTCGTTCGATATCCTCCGCCTTCTTTTTAACGCCGTTTCCATCCACGGAGAAGTCTCTACCGTATCGATCGAACAAATTGTCTTGCAATGCTGAAAAAGTCATCGGTCCTCGTTTACCGCCCCAACTATTGAATGGCAAGCGGAACATGCGAATACCGGAACCCATTCCGTCCGCGCTTCCTCTTCTTTTATTTCCCCATCGATAAATCCACGGAGTCGTTGTTGCAGTCATTTTCTTCTTCTTCTTCCTTCTTCTTTGGGAAGATGGAAGGTTTCGAAGCTCCTGTGTATAAGGATTGTTAGATGGATAGTATGTACAATTATTACCCTTGCAATATTTTGGCGGGAAGAACTCGTGACGCACTGGTGACGCACTCATGTTATACTCGTGACGCACTCGTGACGCACTGAAGGTGCATTTGTGACGCACTCGAGGCGCATTTGAGACGCACTCGTGACACAAGTGACACACCGGTGACGCACTCGTGACACACTTGAGACGCACTCGTGACGCACTGATGACGCACTCGTGACGCACTCTTTCAACAGTAAGACAATTTTACTCAAATTAAAATATTTTAACTTCCTTTGCGTTAATATTGTAACTTTCATCTGTCTTTTATTTTTGTAGTGATCAGCTGACGCACCTGACAAATAGTGCAAGGGTGGAACATAAGAGAACTTTTACGCACTTTACTTTTCGCAGCCAAAGCGAGCCACGAGTCCACATTATCTCTCCTGTTGGAAACGCCCCTTGAATCCGAATCGAAATCTATCCTCCGATCCTCGGGATGTCCCAGGTACACGTTTTTCTGTTCGTCTGAAAAGAAGCTCGTGTAATTCAAAAGAACAGCAGAGTGAATCGTGGCTCACCTGTTGCGTCTGTTCGGAGATCGATTCGCTCCTCTTCCCTCATCACGAGGGGTTCCTTCCACGTTTTGGAGTCGTCCGATAGTCGATCTTCGATCGACGCATCTGTTTCGCCTTCTGACAGGGTGACGATTTCGCAACCCGCGAGGATCACTCCGATCAAAAGAGTTACCGCCGGAAGAAATCCCCACATCTGAATCGATTTGAGAACTCAGGAGATTAAGGAAATAATAATCAAAGTAATGAGATAATCCTATAAACGAATTTTAATAAGTGGCGACAGGAAGAATTATTTCTTCATTCTAGAAATGAGAAAAATGCGGGAAGGTAAAAGGAAAAAGAATGATTCTTTTGCTGGAAATGAATACGTGTACTACTACGAATAACACTGACGTAGAGGTATTAACTATTAAGTCTTGATGGAAATGCAGCGTAAACACTCTGCAATCTTCTTTATAAAAATACTCTGCTAATTGTTCCTTTCTATTAACGTCGAAACATTGTTTTCGAAGCCTCATTTTTTGCGATATCGCTAAAGGTTATTACTCTGGTATTAACATTTATGTTATAACAAAAGTTAGGAAGAAATCATTACGATGAATGAGGTATCGTATAATGATGATGATGAAACTTGCGTGTGACTTCTTTCGCTTTTACGATGATAATCGAACGCACGGGGGAGGAAGGAAAAGTGCATTTTCGTCAGCGACGGCGTAAAATGGTTAGCGAACGCTTTCAAACCTGTCATCGCGGCACTCGTTCGTCTTCACAAACTATTTGTGTTCAACGTTTGTTTTTTCAAATTTTTCCGTGGAAACATTTTCTTCTCGAGCTCTTTTCTTTTCAAGAAGACAGTTATCAATAGTTTAATCACATCATTAATAGTTTCGTTAAATCATTTTGGAAAAACATCCAATCAGAAGCGTTGATTTCTATTTTAATAAACTCTATGTGATTTATCTCGGTAATTAGACATTGCGGTTAAAAAATATAGACATGCTAGCGTTAAAAAATATAGGTTTGTATCGTTCTAAACAATTTTTACATTTAGCTCGAATCTACACAAATATATTCATCGCATTTTGTCCCCTAACATTCACCAAACTCTTAGTTTAAAATTGCACCCCTAACATTCACTAAAAAGTCCTAGTTTAGTAAGTTTGAACTACTTACCGTTGGAAGTCCCTTCACACAAAACGCAATCGTGGAACAACAAAAAAAACTTCGATATTAATCCCGGAACAAGTTAACGTAAATTGCAGTGATTTATACCTTGATTTTATCTCATTCACATGCAGCAGAACTTTGACGACACACGACACTTGCGAGCTCTGTTAATACGAACTATGCAGTGGCTAGTAGACGATACGCGCCGCTCTTCTTATACCATCTACGTGGTTCCGCGGCGCACTCTCGGATTGGTCCAAAAACTCACCCCGGCCTTTAACCGTCCGTTTCACCATTACCATCGTTACATCGTCACTCCATATTTTTCTCTTCATTTCTCTCTATTTCACACTTCTTGCTTTTCTTCCTTGATATTTACATGTTACAGTATGCAACATGTAACATAGGAAGACATCACATTCTCTAACATGTGAAGATCATAAAATTCTTGAAGATATTTTTATAAAAACTGGGCAGTTGATATTTAGTTGATGTATTCTATATTTTGTTTATTCTTGTTGTTTTTTAAAAAAAAGATTAGTCTTGCTTTTTATTGTTCTCTGAAAGGTAAACTTGAAAGCGGGGTTGTGACTTTTTGGTAAGCCTATGAAGTAGTTACTTCTATAACTTATTACTTTTGAAACTTGTAGAAGTTTTTTTGTAGAAAATTTTCTCAACCATCAATTTCATGATAACTACCCTATTTCATGACAACTAACTATCCTACAATTGATAACAAGATATTCTAAAAATTTCTGAATATCTCCCCTTTCATCCACTACAATTTTTAGCAGCCTCCCTGAATTCTTGATTTCCCATTAGATCCTCAAAAATTTTTTAATGCTTCCTTCACGTGTTTCAGAGTTTGCTAACATTATCCCGATGAAAAACGAAGACAGTTTAGTCTAAACAAGGACAAATTGAACACACGAGAAAGGTATCGACTAAAAGTACGTCCTAAAAAATTATTCCCGCGCCTCCATCGTAAATTTCTGTCTCACGCTGACAAATATAAAAGTCATCATACCTTATCAATCACGAGAACGAGGAGATTTCAATTAAACAACATCTTCATTCCCATAAATTTATTTCGAATCGAAACAGTTCTTAGATCACCGGTTACATGTGTATCTCACGTAAATTTTGCAAATCGAGTCTTTGAAAATAATGAGCAGCCAAGTAAACGCTATTAATTCCAGTCGGTAGATTCATTTCGCTGCGTTTCTTCGCAACATTTAACATACTTGACGCTTTCGCGTCGCTTCCTTAACGTTCTTCGTAGGCGTCAAGATCATGTACAGTAATAGGAAAGATAGTACAGTCCAGATTTAGGCACAACTAAATTTCAAAGATCGTCGGTAACAGGAAAACGGGACACTCTTTTACCTCTGGCGACGTAGAAAGGATCGGACTTGGTCAACAGGTGCTCCAGTATTCCTCGGCCATCCGCCAGTCGCGTTCTCTTCATGGTTCTCGCAGAATCCGCGCATTGTATCGAGTCGCACTCTAAATTCTCTATCAATCTCTCCAGCACGTCCTTAGCGACAGATCTGCCGATCGCGTCCGAACTCGAAATTCGCTTGGACTTCGGTTTCTCGAATCGGTAGCCATTTTGTCTCTCGTCCATTTTGTCGGAGGTATAGCAAGGTTTGACCAGACATCGATTTACTCCGAACCTATTCCGTACGTCAAAAATATCAGCAAAATTTGCATCCCTCTTTAGCTCAAAAAACAGTACCCAATCATTTTCGTCAAGCATCGAATTTTCACCCGATCTCAAGGGATGAAATTTATTCGACCCTACTTCATTTTCCACACCATGTTTCAATTCGGAATTTTCAGTCATATTCGACTGTCTTTTACTCTCATCGTCGCCATCCATTTTTTCATTTTCAAATTTCAATTTTCTGTCAGCATAGATGTTTCCATTCTCCACTTCTCCGTGGACTTTTTTACCGCGCGATATGACGAAAGGATCGGTCACATCCAGACGGTGGATGGATCTAGTTTTCGATTGATCGTCGTCGATCTTGATCCAACTGGGCTCGTCAACGTAGAGCGGTTTCTGTATCTCCCAACCCTCACGGTAGCACTCCTTCCTCGAATCGCAGGACGTGAGATAGCTCTTGTCGGACTTCCAAAATTTTCCGAAATGAGGAATTGAGTTCGGGATTCGGTATCGGAGATATTCCTTCGCTTTCGACTTTCGGGGATCCTGCGATCTGTTCATGTCCAGGTACCTTGTTTCATTTTTTTAGAAAGACACTCTTTAGTGATCATATGTGTATATACCATATATGTATATATTTAATCTAACTATTATATCTTGATCTAGATATGTAAGTTACCTGATCAATGTAGAAAGCGCTGAAGACTGCATCGACTCAGAAAAGGGAGAGAAGAAAATTTCGGACCCTTTCTCGTCCTTGCGCTTCCGTTTCCACCAAACCTGCCTCTCCACATCGCCTCCACTCTAAACATTAAATTCAGCATCAAAGGCGCAGTTGTCTCTATCGGGATGGTAACGCGACTCCAGGGGAACACAACCATTTACGCAATTATACTTCTTTCAACGTTGAAACTTTCGAGTTGCAAGTTTGAAGGTTCTTAGAATGCAACAGGGACGTTCAGAAAGAATTCTCTATTTTTCGAGATGAAACAATATACTTTACCAAAGTATCCTTTGCATCGATGCTCGTTGCGGATAAGAGGATCACCAGCAGCAGTTTCTTCATTTCTGCAAAGTATACATTCTGTAACTATGCGAACATTTGATAGTCCGTGTTGAACAGACCGTATTTTGAGAATCTTGACCACCTTCCACCCGGAGTCGGCAGCGACAAATGACTCCGGCCTGTTCCTTCCTTCGCTATTTATGGGGTTCCTTGGCGGGTCCATAGCTGACCTCGTTGCGGTCCAAAGATTACGGGAATTGCACGGGGAATTTACCTCGTCGGTAACCCACGCGTTTGTTTACCTGAACAGCAACCACGTTCGCCCCTCTGTCTCTGATCGAAAAGCGTGTCCGTCACTTTGTCACCTGGGAAATGTGTTACCCTTCTATTTCGTTCATGCAGTAACCTGTCATCGAACATTCCGATATTTTAACATTGTGATCCTTTAATAATTGGAATTCTCTGCGTAGCTGTGTCAAATAGAAATCAGTCTCTTCATCTTGCAAAGACGTGTGGATGTCGTTTTTGAAACGCTATTGCGTGGAAATTGTACTCGTGTACTGTTACGAAAGGGTTCTTCAGAATAAACCTTACTTTCTGAAATAATTTAGACCTTGCGAAGAAGTTAGCTGCATACAGTTAGAAAATAAATTTGCAGAATTTATAATGAATTATTAAAACAGTTTGAGCAACCTTCTCATCAACTGTTCTCTGTTTCAGGAATTCATGCTTTGATTTGAAGAAGCTTAAAAATGGTAAGTTTAATCAACTCTATGTTTCTACGCTTTGACGATAATTTATTACGTGAAAATCATTTGTGTGTCTTATTTGTTCTCTTTGTCATAGAAATTCAGATTCTTGGGGGATGGGGACTGCCCGGATTGGCTGCTGGCAGAGATCAACACCTTATCGCGTATGGTACGAAAATGAATTTCTATATCTATCTAATTAGAAGATTGTCTGATTTAACCTGATTAATTTTTCTCATTTGCTTTTATTTCATAGACGTCGATTAAAATTAAGATACTAGGACAGGCGGTTGCAAAGTACCTCACAGAAGGGGAGCTCGATGTAAGTATTTTTATACATAAAGTACCTGCAAATTTTCAAGACATAATTTTATCTTCAGGAGGAGAAGGTAAAGAAAATCACTCAGGACGCTAAACTCGGTAAGAGTCTTATTTTCAATTTCAGTTCATTCTGACTCTGCTGATTTGTAATTAATATATTTTGTTTGCAATGAACGTACATCAAGAATTAAACGACGCAAAGGCTATGGTGGCCGCGCTGGAGTTGATGTTAACGTCGTCCGCTCGATATGGCGTTTCCGCCACGGATTTGAGCAGCGAATTGCAGCAACTTGGCCTTCCTCGTGAACACAGCGCGGCGATCGCTAGGCTGCACACGGATCATTGCCCTCAAATTACGGCTGCTCTTTCGTCGCAATCCTTGAGAGGTCCATTTAATTATCCGAGAGATTAGAGATCCGAGAGTTTCAGAAAATCCGAGAGTATCATTTGATTAATAGACGCGCACCGAATTTTGCGCGCTGGCATGTACGCATGCGTGAGAATATCAAAGAAAAATAGAACACAAATTAGCGATATGTCAAAGTCACATAACATATTTATATTATAAGGTTTATTATTGGTTTTTTCATATTCTGATTGGTAAATCAATTTGCAGTCAGTCGATTGTCGTCGATCCAGGTTGTGTCCCGTGACGACTCGTCGCCGTTCTCAACGGTGTCCCTAAAGGTAAAGAAACTGGATGGATGTGGTGAAAGCTCTACTATTGATATCTCGAAAGAAGACGTGCACATTCTGTTGGGGGGTAAGAATCTACTTCGGACGAACTTATATATATTATGTATTTATGTATTTACTTATTAATTATTTTTCAAGAGCTACGCAGGGCGAAATCTTTGATGGAGAATCTGTAAACCTCGTACGTCATGTTCCCCATTTATACTCTTCGTTGATACCATCTCAGATATTCGATAAGCGTAATTACGTGTAACAATATATATACATTCCACGGTACTTACTGCGTTTACATTTTATCTTCCTTACATCGTTGTTTGAGCAGAACTGAAAGTATAACTAAAGACAGCTGAAGACAGTAAAATATGATTTTTTATATTGTGAGAAAGAAAGGATAAGATGTAGGGTTGTACAAAGTAGAGTTAAGATATAATGTATATTTATTATATTATCATTTTCGTCATATAGCATAACATTGTTATTTCTATAATAATAATAATAATAATTATAATTATAATAATAATCATCATTTTATCGCCGTCATCGTCGTCATCGTCATTGTCATCGTCATAATAATAATAATAATGGTATTAATATTAAGAATAATATAATTATAATAATAATCACCATAATAATAGTAATAATAATATAATGATAATTGCCGTCATAATCATAATTATAATAATAATAACAATAATAATAATAATCATAGCACCATGAACACTCCATAGTAAGTTTTTAATTTGTTACTCGATAAATGCGACGCCCCGTTACGCTTGAAGGGGTGAGAACCGCGATTCGTACGATAAATATAGTCGTGAAAAATTTGAATCGCCTCTCGTCTGCCACGTAACGCCGTAATGGCAGAAGATCGACCGTGAAAATGACTAGATGATCGCGCGGCATTAGGAAACGAGACTGTCTGACTAGAACGTATCCGAAATCGTACGCGGGGTAAACGAACTCTATCGAACACCGCCTCTCTCTTGTTTCGCTCGTAATAAAATCTGATCTCCGGCGACACACGTACGTAATTTCTTAGTCACGTAAGTTATGTACGAAGCAGATATCTTTTGACACGTGATCGAAATCACTCCTTTTTTTTATTAAGCTGATAGTCGAACGAAACCGTATCACCGTTCTCACGCCCGTTAAGCACCTCGATCGATCTGGGAGTTCGTACACAGGTGTTGAGATTCATAATTCGTAATTCCTCGTTCTTCTTCACTCTCCTCTTCCCGTATAATTATGTTTCTTCCTATTTTTTTTCCTTTTGCCCATGTATTTATATTTTATATATTCGCGTGTTTGTCCGTATGTCTGTCTGTGTATGTATGCGTGTACGCGTGAGCGTATATGCGTGTACGTGTGTGTTTTATAATATATATATATTTTTTTTATTCTTTTCATCTTCATATTTATTCTAAACTGTTTTAATGAAAGCTCGTTCTTAACTTTTATATTCCTCTCCCTCTTTAACAGAAATTTCCCGTACAGAATTGCCGACAAGCTCAAGCCGTTCGCTTCGATCGACAATGCCCTCCGCTCATTCCTTCCCTCGCTTCTATTAAATTCAATTTCATAATTTTAATACCCTACCTAAACAGCTGGTCATTTATATTTGTCAATAAATAATACGTAAACACATAGGTGTATGCTTCGTCATTGCCCTTTTACCGTTTACGTTTTCTCGACGTTTCAGTCACGAACAAAGAAACGTTTCTGTGTCGTGATCAGCGATCGATGATGACAGTGACGATATTAATGATCGTATCGGTGCTGATGCGAAAAATTAACAACGACGGCGGCAGCAACAACAACAGTATAATAACAATAACAATAATAATAATGACCATAATAATAGCACGCGGTGATGGCAATAATGACGATGATAGAAATGAAGAAAAATTACAACGATTATGACAATATTAATTATGGTTGCAATGGTTACGATGATTACTCGAGTAACATTAGTGGTAGCGATGATGCGTATAACAATCGTAAGAATAAAAAATACTAACAGCAATAATAATAAAATGGAAGTAAATCAAAAGATCAAATCTTTTCTAAAAAAATCACTTTTTTCCCACAAAATTAAGTTCACTATGTAAACGGTAAAAGGAACAAAAAGGTAAATAAATAACTAAATAAATAAATAAATAAATGTAATATGCACACGTATGAGAAACGACTGGCGACAATAAATGAACGATAAAAAACTTATATACTAATTAGAGCATTTATTAGGGCTAGTAGCCATAAGTCAATCAACGCAGCATTTTCTTCTCATCGTCGCTAGAACATCGTCGTCGTTAATTGAAAATTTGAAGCTCATAGAAGCATTGACGATATTTTTGATTCATTTTCCCTATAAAATAAATAAATAAATAAATAATCTATCCAAGCATGTATTGTCGATCTATCACGCTTAACGTACAAAACTTTCTTCGATTACGAGTATTATCAAACGCGTTACCGACTAACGTTACCGTAATCATCGTTTGACATCGTCGTTGTCGTCGTCGTCATTGTCATTATAACCACCACCGTCATCATCGTCGTTGGGGTATTACCGCTATCACCATCGACATCATCAACGTCATCGTCATACCAAACGTCATCGTCGTCGTCGTGATCGCGATGGTCGACCTCGTCACCGTCGTCGTTCGGCGACGTGAACCTGCGATCGTGGTCCGTTGAACGCAACGTATCGTCGCGTTACGGTGTAACGGAAAGTAAGTACGAAAAAAAGGTAAATCGTCGACTAGTTGACGGTGTCTGCTTCGGTAACGGCGCGGTGCGTCGACGCATCGGAAAGAAAAGTTTCGTTATCGTCGTTATTTCAAGGGCAAATGTCAGAATCATCAGAATCTATGAGATCTCGAGAAAGACCAGTATCCGTACATCGGATAATTATATCCCGTATAATCGTTATCGCTCGACGAGAATCAAGAATCACCGGCGCAATTATCGTTTGGTCAGATTTGAAAATGGCGCGCGCATTCGCATCGTGTTCGCTTCCCTCGCCTCTCGGGAGTAGTTACATTTCATTTGTTTCAAATGGAATATCGAGTTTCTACAAAATATCTACAAAGGAATTCGTTACGGGAGCGATCGTCTCTGTTCGCGACGGACTCCGAGACGCATCGTGAACAGAGATTCTCGCTCCGATAAAATTATCGAACGTGGACTTTGTCCGTTGGATGGATGTCGTATTACGAGTTCGTTCGCCCTCGCTACGCGACTCTGCGTCGCACGCTTCCCTCGCTAAAGCGTCGATCAATTGTCTGATCTATAAATTCGTCTATCGTCGCTACAGGATGTGACGTTCGAAACGGAACACGGTACACGGTACCGACGACGATCCTCTGTTGTTTCCGATTCATACCCGACTCGCTTCTCACCAATCTCTTTATTCTCTACGTTATAGGAATAGGACACAGATAATACCTATCTATAACACACCCGGAAATACATTAGTCGTTTATCTATACACGAATAGACACTTACAACGAGAAAGATCTTCAATTACCGTGAATCAGGCTAACAGTACTTCTAATTAATCTCTCGAATGAAATTTCAGGAATGCAGAATTCTCTGTCAATTTTTTAATTGCCTGATCATAGTCGATGCTGATCATTGAACGTTACTCGTCACACGATAGCATCGAAGCAACGATCGCGTCGACGTATAAAAAGTTTGTCCGGTACACGATATCAAGGAGAGGCCTCTCCGAAAACTCTTCCGAATTTACCCGAATTTACTCGAGTACCAACAGAACGAGTTTTCGGAATCTCGTGTAAGGAAAGGAACATTTCAAAGTTGAAATTTGAAAACAAAATTCTCAACCTCTCCTTGAGATATCGTGGAGTTTTGGGAGTCGATAGTCGGGAGTCGCGCTCACAATAGGCACGGGTAAAACGCGACCTGTTCTCGGTTATTTCGAGTCCATAAACGAAAAGCGACAGCGTTACGCCTCGGGCTCCGCTCAGAACTCGACAATCACGGCTGAGCAGGCTGCCAATCCCTAGAATTCGAGTCTATAGGCACTGCAGCTGGTCTCGTGGTCTTGGAGATTAATGGTGCAACGCGAAGCCGAAGGGGAGAGATCGATGCGATTCGCGGCGAGCGCCTCTTCGTTATCGGCCACCCAGTAGCCCAAGGTGTCCGTGTCGTAAGTCGGTATCATCGTCACTTCTAAACAGTAAACACAAGATTAACAAATGCCTCAAAGTAACAAACTCAAGTTACAAAGTAAAGAAAACTTACCGAGATCTTTGTCCTCCCAAGTTCGTTTAGCTTCCAATAATGCATCATACACCTCCCGACTCGGTTCCGTGCCGCTGAACACGTAATATCTGGCGCGAACTCTCTTGAAGAAGTCCAACGAAGCGTAGTACGAGTTCCCGTGATGGGGAACGTAAGTCAGATCGACGTACACCGGCTGGATCTTGTTCTTAGAGTCTTTGATCTTCTTCTCGTTCTTCGCAGGACTCTCCGAGCGCTTCTTATTCTTTAAATTCTCGGATAATACTTTTCTAGCCTGCTTCTTCTCTTTTTTCGGAGTTCCCGGCGCAGCCTTGTTCGAAATTTCGTTGGTCACCGGCGCGGGAGAAGGTAAAGCTAGAGGTTCACCCCAGCCGGCGAGGACATCGACTGGTTCCTCGGTTCGGGGCTGATCGAAATTGCTGCTGGTACTCGCTACGTTTCTTAGATTAAACTTGTGGGGTGGTTTAGGCGACGGGAGACCTAGGGGTTTGCCCCAACCCTCCAGCGGATCTTTCTTCGAATCCTTACGCGTGTCACTGGATGTCTCAGAGGTCTCTCCTCGAACACTGCCGTTCGCGTATCTTCGTGACTCCTTCGTTTCCTCCCGCTCCATCGCCTTCTCAAAATCGAGATCTGCCTCGTCAACGTACTTCTTGCCTTCATGTTTCGCTTCGTACGCCCCAGCGTACTCCTTCTCGACAGTAAAGCGCTTGAACGCGTACTCATCGGGTTTCGGTGGAACAACCGGTAGCTGGCCATACACGCTGCTGCTCATTTCAGCCGCAGTGAACTCGATCGGCGACCCTTCCTCGATCACGTCGCTCTTCTTCAGAAGCGAGTCGTCGGTCGGTGTCGTCGTCGGTGTGGCGGTCGTCGGCACCTCTGCTGGTTGCTCGACGGACTCTTTGCTGGGGATGTACTCGTCCACCTTCACGTCAACCTTCTCCGACAAGATGATCGTCTCGCCCTTCTCGTTGGTGGTTTCCGTGACCTCTCTGGTGGTCGTCACGATCTCTCCGTCGTCGGACACCGTCTTCGTCGTGGTGATAATCGTTCGGATCACCTCGCCGGATCGGAAGCCTTCGGGGGTGCCCGTGACGGAACCGCGGTCGGACTTCTTCTCGGGAGTCGATCTTTCAGAAACGTGGGCTCGAATGTCTTTCTTTTCTTCGGATCTCTTTGTCTCCTCTTTCTCTTCTTTGACGGTCTTTGTAATTCGCTTGATCTCGTCGTCGACGGAGACGGTTCCTTTATCGCCGATTTCTACCTTGACCGTCTCGCCGTCCGGTAATTCTTCGGTGACCACGATCTTCTTCGTCTTCGTGGTGATCGTCTCGATCGTTTGCGGAATCTCCACTCTAGTCACCTTCGTTTCTACCAACTCCTTCTTCAGATCGGTCATCTCATCTTCTGGTACAATTATTTCCCGTTCGATGATCTTTTTAATCACCACAGGCTCCTCGTGTTCGACGATCTCCCGTCTGACGACCCTGCGAATCGTCTCCGGTTCCTGATCCGAGACCTCTCGTGTCACGGTCTTCCTGATCACCACGCACTCGTCTTCATCCTTGCCCTCGACCAGTCGCTCACTCTTCTTTGTTTCGTCGGAAACTGTTTCTGTCTCTCCAATCTTGCTCTCCTTTAACACAGTAACCGTAGGCTTCATTTCCACCGTTGTCTTCTCCTTGTCCGAGTCTGGAGACTCGACCACAGACTTCCTCGCGTCGATCGTCTTATCGTCGACCTTCTCAACGGTGGAGGCGGTGGGCTCCGACGTGGAGTCCGGTGTTCCGTCTCGGGTCAAGTCAGGAGTGGATTTACCTGAGAGTGTAGTAATATGTGTGGTGCGTATCTCGGTCATTCCTCCGGCGAACGCCTTGTGGAACTGGCTCTCGTAACTGACCGGATGATCGACCTTGTAATCGTGAGTTTTAGCTTCTTCGACGCGTTCGAAGCGCGACTCCGAAGACTTATCGCGCCGGAAACCTTCGTCGTCTCTCTCGTAACCGGCAGCGGAGTCTACCTCCTCGTCGTCGGTTTCTCGACAGATCTCCACGTCGATCACAGCCTCGCGCGACAGCTTCCTCTTCCACACGATCTCCTCGATTATCTCGAAAATAATGTATCGGGGTAGTCTTGTTCGGATCATTATCTCCTCCAGAATCTCCTCGGTGATCTTCTTACCCTTCTTGACGTACTCCTCCTCGAGAAGCTTCTCCATTTCGGTTCTCTTTTCCTCAGATATCGAAATCTCTTCGTCGATGTGCGGCTCGGAACGAGTGGGACTGTCCTGAGTGGATTTGTCGGAAGCGATCTGTTCCGAACCGGGACTGACGCTTCTCGAACTCGTCTTGTCGTCCGCCATTTTACTCATCTTCTCCTCGGAGATGAGCTCTAAGAATTTGTCTCTGGACAGGAAGTCCTTCTCTTGAGTCACGCTGATGATGATGCTGATCGCCAGGGATCTTTGTATCAGGAATATTTCACAGATCTCCTCGATCACGGAAATTTGTATTAATTTGTTTTTGCTGATGTACTCCTCGAACAGGTATCTTTCTATCTCGTTTGTCAGTTTCGTTATGTCTTCCTTGTCTTTTAATTTCTCTTCTATCTTTTCTTTTTCTGTGGCATCCGTAAGTTTCGGGTCTTTGGATTCTGCTATGCTTGGAGATCTGGATTTTTCTTTCGACTCTGCTTCTTTTGTTACTTTCGCGTCTTCCGTTTTAACTTCTGTCTTTTCTAATTTTTGTGCAACTTCCTTAGTGATGGTCTCTTTTACGACATCAGTCGTCTTGGATTCCAGAGGACTCGTCGGTTTCGAACGATCCTTGGACTCCGTTGAAACGGTGGTTGTTACGCTGACAGAACTAGTCACTTCAGTAACTTTATGCACGTCTGTCACAGTAGGTGATTTTACTTTCTCGACTTCTTTTGACTCGGCCGACGGACTGGCGGATCCAGATTTGTCAGATGTCTTCGCGTCTTTCGGGCCAGACTCAGAGGCAACACTAGGTGATTTCGAACGGTCTACGTCCTTAGATTTCTCCGGGATACTAGTAACACTGGGAGACCTGGATTTCTCGACCGCCTTCGCGTCAATATCCTTCGAGTCGATCGCCTCTGGGGAGATGCTAGGTGTTCTCGACTTGTCTTTCGAGTCAACAGCTTCACTCGGTGATTTCGAGTGATCTGCTTCCTTTGATTTACTGGGAGTCACGCTCGGGGATCTGGACTTTTCGGTTTTGACATCAAGGTCCTTTACTTCGGAGGGTTCAACACTTGGAGATTTTGAATCTTTGGATTCGATCGCAGTGCTGGTTACACTTGGAGATCTGGATTTTTCTTCAGGTTTAATTTCAAGGTCCTTCAAATCAGTTGGTGACTTCGAATCCTTAGACTCGACCGCAGGTATACTTGGAGATCTGGATTTGTCAGAGGCTTTCGCATCGTCTGCAGAAATACTAGGAGATCTGGACTTCTCTTTCACTTCGAGGTCCTTCAAGTCGGTTGGCTCTGCGCTTGGAGATTTAGAATCCTTCTCGGTCGCAGGAGCGCTTGCTATACTCGGTGATCTGGATTTTTCAGACTTAATATCGAGGTCCTTCAGATCTGTCGGTTCGCCAGCGATACTCGGCGATTTAGACTTCTCTGATTTAACTTCCACATCCTTCAGATCTGTCGGTTCGCCAGCGATACTGGGCGATTTAGACTTCTCACCTTTAACTTCTACGTCCTTCAGATCTGTCGGTTCGCCAGCGATACTCGGCGATTTCGAATCTTTGATCTCAGCTGCAGTAACGCTGGGAGATCTAGATTTGTCAATTACCTTTGTATCTGCAGCCTCTCCAGAAATGCTAGGTGATTTCGAAAGGTCGGTAGGTTCCTTAGATTCCCCAGGAACACTTGTCACGCTGGGTGATCTAGATTTCTCGTCAACTTTAACTTCGAGGTCCTTCAAATCTGTTGGTTCTCCAGCGACACTCGGTGGCTTCGAATCTTTAGGTTCAACTGTACTTGCTATGCTGGGTGATCTAGACTTCTCAACTGCTTTGATATCAAGCTCTTTTAGGTCAATAGGTTCTCCAGCAACACTTGGTGGTTTTGAATCTTTAGGTTCGGCTGTGCTTGCTATGCTGGGCGATCTGGACTTTTCAAGGTCTTTTAGGTCGGTTGGTTCACCAGCGATACTTGGTGATTTCGAATCTTTGGGTTCGGCTGCTATGCTGGGTGATCTGGACTTCTCGTCAGTCTTAACATCGAGATCCTTCAGATCAGTTGGTTCTCCCGCAACACTCGGTGTTTTGGAGTCTTTAGATTCAGCTGCTATGCTGGGTGATCTGGACTTCTCGTCTGCCTTAACATCGAGATCCTTCAGATCAATTGGTTCACTAGTAACACTTGGTGATTTGGAGTTTTTAGGTTCAGCTGCTATGCTGGGTGATCTGGACTTCTCGTCTGCCTTAACATCGACATCCTTCAGATCAGCTGGTTCACTAGTAACACTCGGCACCTTCGAGTCTTTAGATTCAGCTGCTATGCTGGGAGATCTGGACTTCTCGTCTGCCTTAACATCGAGATCCTTCAGATCAGTTGGTTCTCCCGCAACACTTGGTGATTTAGAGTCTTTAGTCTCAGCTCCTATGCTGGGTGATCTGGACTTCTCGTCTGCTTTAACATCGAGATCCTTCAGATCAGTCGGTTCTCCAGCAACACTAGGAGACTTCGAATCCTTAGTCTCAGCTGCTATACTCGGTGATCTGGACTTCTCATCTGCCTTAACATCGAGATCCTTCAGATCAGTCGGCTCACCAGCAACACTCGGCGCCTTCGAGTCTTTAGATTCAGCTGTTATGCTCGGTGATCTAGACTTGTCTTCCACTTTACTTTCAACTTCCTTCAAGTCAGGTACTTCGCCAGCAACACTCGGCGACTTGGACTTCTCCGCCTTCATATCCACAGGTTCCCCTGCAATACTCGGCGACTTAGAATGCTCCTCCTTTGAGTCTGCAACGCTCGTCAAACTAGGAGATCTAGATTTCTCGTCAGCTTTAACATCAAGCTTCAAGTCTTTCGGTTCAACACTCGGTGATTTTGAATCTTTAGGCTCGGGAGCGCTTGCTACGCTCGGTGATCTGGATTTTTCGTCAGGTTTGTCGAGATCCTTCAAGTCAGTAGGTTCGCTAGCAACGCTCGGTGACTTGGAATCTTTGGACTCAACTGCGGCACTCGGTATACTCGGGGACCTGGATTTGTCCGCTTTCGTGTCAACTTCTGGAATACTTGGTGATTTTGCAAGTTCAGGCTCCTTTGAATCTACAGTGCTTGTTATACTGGGAGATCGTGACTTCTCTGATTTTTCAACTTCCTTCAAATCGGCGGGTTCACTGGCAACGCTGGGGGATTTCGACTTCTCGTCTTTGACTTCTACGTCCTTCAAATCAGTCGGTTCACCAGCGATGCTTGGCGACTTGTCCTTAGGCTCGGTTGCAGTGCTTACTACGCTCGGAGATCTCGACTTGTCTTCTGCTTTCGCTTCATCTCCCGCGATACTCGGGGATTTAGAACGATCCGCTTCCTTCGCATCTCCAAGAGTACTCGTCACACTCGGCGATCTGGATTTCTCGTCCGGTTTAATTTCTAGGTCCTTCAAGTCAGTTGGTTCACCGGCAACGCTCGGTCTTTTCGAATCTTTAGGCTCAGTAATACTGGGAGATCTAGATTTCTCCACCGCCTTCAAGTCAACAGACTCTCCCGAAATGCTAGGTGATTTCGAATGCTCCACCGCTTCTTTCGTTTCTCCGGTGACACTAGGAGACCTTGATTTTTCTGACTTAGCTTCGACATCTTTCAAGTCGGTTGGTTCACTCGTTACGCTAGGGGACTTCGAGTCTTTAGATTCTACCACAGGAGCGCTTGCTATGCTGGGTGACCGAGATTTTTCTTCCGGTTTAATTTCGGGCTCCTTCAGATCTTCGACAGGAGGGCTCGGTGATTTAGAACCCTTTGGCTCTGGAGGAGCACTCGTTATACTGGGCGATCTGGACTTTTCAATTGTTTTGATATCTAGGTCTTTTAGGTCGGTTGGTTCTCCAGCGATACTTGGAGACTTGGAGTCTTTGGATTCGACTGCGGGTCCGCTAGGTATACTAGGAGATCTGGACTTCTCTTCTTCTTTTACTTCAACGTCTTTCAAGTCAGTTGGTTCTCCAGCGATACTTGGAGATTTGGATTCTTTAGCTTCTGCGGGTCCGCTGGGTATGCTAGGTGATCTTGACTTCTCACCTTCTTTTACTTCAACGTCTTTCAAGTCTATTGGTTCGCCAGCGACACTTGGCGATTTGGATTTAGCATCTGCAGGTCCACTGGGTATACTAGGTGATCTGGACTTCTCTCCTTCCTTAACGTCTACATCCTTCAAGTCTATTGGTTCTCCAGCAACACTTGGAGATTTGGATTCCTTAACCTCTGCAGGACCGCTGGGTATACTAGGCGATCTAGACTTCTCGCCTTCCTTAACCTCCACATCCTTCAAATCAGTTGGTTCGCCAGCTATACTCGGCGATTTAGATTCTTTAGCTTCTGCAGGTCCACTAGGTATACTAGGCGATCTCGACTTCTCCCCTTCTTTAACTTCCACATCCTTCAAGTCAATAGCTTCACCAGCGACACTTGGTGACTTAGATTCTTTAGCATCCGCAGGTCCGCTAGGTATACTAGGCGATCTCGACTTCTCACCTTTAGCTTCAACATCCTTCAAGTCAACTGGTTCCCCAGCAATACTTGGAGATTTCGATTCCTTCGTTTCTGCAGGTCCGCTGGGTATGCTAGGTGATCTAGACTTCTCTCCTTCTTTAACTTCAACATCTTTCAAGTCAACAGATTCACCAGCTACACTAGGTGACTTTGAATCTTTGGATTCGACCGCAGGAGCACTAGCTATGCTAGGTGATCTCGATTTTTCTACTTTGCTTTCGACATCCTTCAAGTCGATCGGTTCGCCAGCAACACTTGGCGATTTAGAATCTTTGGATTCGACTGCAGGAGCTATGCTGGGCGATCTGGATTTTTCATCTGGTTTTTCGACTTCCTTCAAATCGACTGGCTCGCCAGCAACGCTCGGTGATTTAGACTTCTCTTCTGCCTTAACTTCAACGTCTTTCAAATCAATCGGTTCTCCAGCCACACTTGGTGACTTTGAATCTTTAGGTTCAGCTGCAGTTGTGCTCGCTATGCTCGGTGACCTCGATTTTTCGTCCACTTTAGCCTCAACGTCCTTCAAGTCAACTGGTTCGACGCTCGGGGACTTTGAATCTTTAGCCTCCGCAGGAGCTATGCTTGGAGATCTGCTCTTCTCCTCTGGTTTAACTTCAACGTCCTTCAAATCTGTTAGTTCGCCAGCGATACTCGGTGATTTTTCTTTAACCTCAGATACTGGTGCACTCGGTATACTTGGAGATCTCGATTTGTCTTTCATTTCGACATCCTTCAAGTCTGTCGGTTCACCAGCAATGCTGGGTGACTTTGAATCTTTAGGCTCTGAGGGTGCAATACTCGGCGATCTGGACTTCTCATCCGGTTTAATTTCAAGTTCCTTCAAGTCAGCTGGTTCTACACTCGGTGACTTCGAGTCTTTAGGTTCTGGAGCACTTGCCACGCTCGGTGATCTGGACTTCTCCTCCGGTTTAACTTCAACGTCCTTCAGATCGATCGGTTCGATGCTTGGCGACTTCGATTCTTTAGGTTCGGGAGCTGTGCTTGCTATGCTGGGCGATCTGGACTTTTCAACTGTCTTAATATCAAGATCAGTAGGTTCACTCGGTGATTTCGAGTCCTTGGGTTCTGTTATGCTCGGCGATCTGGATTTCTCTTCCGGTTTAATCGAAAAGTCCTTCAAATCTGCTGGTTCCACGCTCGGCGACTTTTCTTTTGCCTCCGTCGTTACACTCGATATACTTGGCGATCTCGACTTTTCTTCGGCTTTAGCTTCAACTTCCTTCAAGTCAGCTACTTCGCTAGCAACACTCGGCGACTTCTCTTTAGCCTCAACCGCAGGTATACTAGCAACGCTTGGCGATCTTGACTTGTCCTTCAGATCTACAGGTTCTTCTGTAATACTCGGTGACTTTGCATACTCCTTCGAGTCCGGAACGCTCGTCACACTGGGAGATCTCGATTTTTCCACCTTCACTTCTACGTCCTTCAAATCAGTCGGTTCAGCCGGTGACTTTGAATCTTTAGGTTCGGCAGCACTTGCTACGCTTGGTGATCTGGACTTCTCCGGTTTAACTTCAACATCTTTCAGATCGATCGGTTCGACACTCGGCGATTTCGATTCTTTGGGTTCAGGAGCGCCCGTCACGCTCGGCGATCTGGATTTGTCAATCTTTGCCTCAGCAAGATCTGAAATAGGCGACTTCTCAACTTTCGGCTCACTGACAATACTTGGGGACCTGGATTTTTCTTCCGGTTTAACTTCGACGTCTTTCAAATCAGTCGGTTCGCCGGCGATGCTCGGCGACTTCGAATCTTTAGGCTCGATCGCGGGTGCGCTCACTACGCTCGGCGATCTGGATTTCTCCGCCGCTTCAACGGCCTTCAAGTCGACCGCCTCTCCCGCGGCACTCGGAGATTTCGAACCGCTCTCTTCCTTCGGTTCTGTGGGAACGCTCGGCGATCTGGATTTATCAGAAACGACGTCTTTCGGTTCACTGGGTGACCTAGACTTCTCTAGTTCCGCTGGTTTCTTTTGATCTTTCGCGTCGATTTTTTCGGCTTCAATACTCGGAGAACCTTCTTTGGACTCTTTAGGTTCGCTCACGATACTCGGCGATCGAGACTTGTCTTTCAGTTCTTCGACCGCCACCTCTCCAGCAATACTTGGGGATTTCGAACGATCCACTTCCTTCGTTTCGCTGGGAACACTGGTTATGCTGGGAGACCTTGATTTTTCCTCCACCTTGTCTTTCATTTTATCGGCGTCATCGGTCGGTGACTTTGAACCTTCCTTCGCCAGACTCGGAGATCTGGATTTGTCTTCTTCAGGAATGCTCGGCGACTTCGAGCCTTCTTTAGCTTCTTTAGTTTCGACTTTGATGTCTTTCTCTTCCGTCGGGCTAGCGGATTTCGAACGATCCTTCTGTTCGGGAACACTCGGAGGCTTCTCCACCTTGTCTGGAACTTGCGACTCGATCGATTCAGTCGGCGATTTCGAGCCCTCTTTGGCAGGTTCTGTTACGGCGGGCTGATCAGTTACCTTTTCACCGGTAGGCTCTTCTGGAACACTCGGCGATTTCGAACGATCCGGCTCTTTCTCTCCGGGCACGCTCGTAACGCTGGAAGACCTAGATTTCTCCTCCATCTTGTCCAGCTCCTTCGCATCGATCGCTTCTCCCGCGATGCTCGGCGACTTTGCGTCTTTCGATTCGACCACGCTAGGGGATCTGGACTTGTCCGATACTTTCTCCTCTTCCGAAATACTCGGCGGTGATACGCCCTTTTCTTTCGGTTCTTCGGGACTACCTGTGGGAGACCTGGATTTTTCTTTGACGTCCTTCAAATCGATCGGCTCGCCTGCGATGCTTGGCGGTTTTGACTCTTTAGGTTCAGGAACGCTCGCTACACTCGGCGATCTCGATTTGTCGACTTTCATCTCTTCTTCGGTGACGCTCGGTGATTTCGATACAACCTCCTTCGCTTCCGCAGGGATGCTCGCCACACTCGGAGTTCGGGATCTGTCTATTTTTGCGTCTGCCTCCTTAGATTCTATTTCTGTGGGGGCACTTACGCTGGGAGATCTCGACTTCTGTACATCCAGTTCCTTTGCGTCGATCGTCTCGCCAGCGATGCTCGGCGATCGATCCTTCTCTTTGGTGTCAACTTCGGGAGATGGCTCCTCTTTTGTTATACTTGGAGATCTTGATTTTTCGACAGCTTTCGCGTCTGCCTCTTTTGTTATACTGGGAGATCTGGATTTTTCGGTAGCCTTCGCGTCTGCTAATTCTTCCGAGATACTTGGCGATTTCGATTTCTCTGCAGCTTCTTTCTCGCTAACAGGTACTTCCGGTACTTTCGCTTCTTTCTCACTAGCAGGTACTTCCGGTACTTTCGCTTCTTTCTGATCGATCGGTTCTGTAGCTAATTTTGTGTCGGGGATTTTAGAGTCATCGATCTTCTTCTCGTCCATCTTCTCAATGCTCGGAGATTTCGACGGTTCTTTCGCCTCCAGGCTGGGTGACCTCGATTTTTCTTTAACTTCTTCTGCTTCTCCCGAAATGGTAGGCGATTTCGAACCTTCCTTCTCTGCAGTCACACTCGCAACACTGACCCTTCTGGATTCCTCTTTAATTTCCTCTTTGACATCCTTCGCCTCCGCTTCCACGCTCGGAGACTTCGAACGTTCCTTCGAGTCAGGTACACTCGTCACGCTGGGAGATCTAGACTTCTCTTCGAGTTCCTTCGCGTCAGCAATCTCGCTGGCGATGCTCGGAGAACGATCCTTCTCTTTCTCCGCCACACTGGGCGATTTCTCCTTCTGCTCCTGATCGAGCTTTCGATCTTTTGGCTCCTCTGGAAGACTGGGTTCCTTCTCCTGAACGTCTTTCAAGTCGGCCTTCTCTGTAGGCGATAGCGATCCTTTCGACTCGGCAGGGCTAATAGAGGCACGTGTCGCTTCAGGGGATACCGATTTCTCGGTCGCTTCCTTCAAGTCCGCCTCGCTGGCGATGCTCGGAGACTTCGAACGATCTGTGGATATCGATCGTCTCGAGTCCTCGTCGCGGACGCTTGTTATACTCGCTGGACTTGATTTCTCGCTCGCTTCCTCTTTGAATGGCTCTCCTTCAATGACAGTGGTTGGTTTGCTAACTTCAGGTTCTTTAACTGTCAAGATCGGAGATTTTTGATCGACCGATTTCTTCCTTTCTATTTCGGTTACTTCAGGTTTGTCCTCGGCTTCCTTTGCTAAATCTGCAACTTCAGTCTTCTTTTCTTTGTCGAGTTCCACGGTGACTGGTCGTTCGGCAACCGACTCACGTCGCTCTTCCTTGATCTCTTCTGCTTTCTCTTCTTTCGAGATTTTATCTTCTGCCGAAACGGGAGAAGGAGACTTCTTGGCTTCGTCGACAGCTACATCTGCGACAGATAATTTACGGTCTACAGATACTTCCTTTTCTTCTTTTTCTTCTTTTGTTATTTCTTTCTCTTTGGGAGATTCAGGACTCTTCTCACGTGGTGTAACCTTCTCTTCTTTCTCTTCAATTTTCACTTTTTCTTCAGGTGTTTTTACTTTCTCTTCAGGAGTCTTTTCTTTCTCTTCAGGAGTCTTTGCTTTTTCTTCGGGAGTTTTCACTTTTTCTTCAGGAGTCTTTGCTTTCTCTTCAGGAGATTTTGCTTTCTCTTCAGGAGATTTTGCTTTCTCTTCAGGAGTCTTTGCTTTTTCTTCAGGAGTCTTTGCTTTTTCAGCTTCTTCTTTGGAAAGAGGCTTCGGTGCCTCGACCTTAGCTTCTTCCTTCGCCGAAACAATGGCGTCCGCCGGTTCCATGTCTTTGATCGCGTCCAAAATCTGTATACTTTCCCGCTTCTCCGTCGGCGACTTCTCAAAGATGGTCTCCGCGGGCGAAACGTCTTCCGACCTAATCGATTCTGGTGACTTAGCCGCCGTAATATCCAGCGTCTTCTTCTCAGGATGCGCTTCAATTTGTTTTTCGATCGCCTCGATTACTTTTTCTTCGTCGATCTTCGCTTCCTTCTCTTCCGGCGTCTTAGACAATTTCTCAACAGAAATGCTTTCCTTTCGCTTCTCAGTCACCGCTTTCTCCAAACTGTCTTCAAGATCCTGCGAGCCGGAGTCGAGTCGATCGACCGGCGACTTCTCGAGGCTATCCTCCGGGGTTACCTTCCCTACATCTTTCACTTCCGGCGATTTCTCGGAGATGCTGTCCTTCTCCGGGCTGCTTGTTCCCGAACGCAGAGAATCCTTGTCCGTGACTAGAGAATCCTTGTCAGGGGTCGATTTTATCGACGTGTCTCTCAGAGAATCGTCCGGCGTGACGGATTTTATTGCGACAGCGTCAGTCGAGCAGATTTCAGTTTCTGCTCCGCCATCTTCGCTGCTGGCGGTCACCAGCATTCGTCGAACGAATCCAGAGTCTTCTTCAACCTTCTTCTCTTCTTCCTTAACTTCTTGCACCGGCGACTTCTTCAAATCAGCTTCGATTTGTTCCATCTTGTCAGCGACAGGTTCCTCTTTTTCTTCTTTCGGTTTGTGGTCAACTGGCTCGACCACTTTGTCTTTTGCATCGAGTGGTGACACTTTCTCTTCTTTTTCTTTCTCTGGTTCTTTTTGTATTGCGGGGAGCTGTTCGAGTGACAATTTCTTAATCGCTTCAGACGGCTCCTCCTTCGCAGGAGACACCTCCTTTTCTTTTTCCGGTTCTGGTTTTTTGTCGACTTTTACCTCTTCTTTTGGAGGAGATACCTCTCGCTCCTTTTCTTCTTTCGGTTCTGGTTTCTTGTCGACTTTTACCTCTTCCTTCGGAGGAGATATCTCTCGTTCCTTTTCTTTTTCTGGTTCCTTCTCCACTTTCTCTTCCTTCACAGGAGACACCTTTTCTTTTTCCGGTTCTTCCTTCTCCGCTTTCTCTTCCTTCACAGGGGACACCTTTTCTTTCTCCGGTTCTTCCTTCTCCACTTTCGCCTCTTCCTTCGCAGGAGACACCTCTCGCTCCTTCTCAACTTCCTTCTCAAATTTGACCTCTTCCGTCTTCGACAACTTTTCCACTTCTTTCACATCTTTCTCTTCCGCCACCGGTTTCACTTCCACTTTACTAACAGTTTCCTCCACCTTCTCTTTAGCCTCGTCCAAGTACTTCTCGACTGTGTCCAAACTCTCGCCTGCTTCCGTCACTTCCTCTTTCGCGACCTCCTCGCGTTCGATCTTTTCAAATGGCACATCCTTCTTCTCCTTCTCTTTCGTCTCGTGCACAAACTTCTCGTCAGCCTCGACCACATCGCTGCCAGCCTCCTCCGCTTCTTCCGCCTCCTCTCTGGGTTCCAACTTGTCTGACACGATCACGTCGCCGACTTTGTATTCCTGTTCGACGGCTTCGAAGTCGTCTTCTTTTTCTTGGTCCGCCTTCTTCTCGGCTGTTGGTTCGAGTTTCATTGCTTCTGAAGGTTTCTCGGGTGGGGATATCTTGTCTTTTGATACTCTTCTACTTTCGATGCGGACGAAACCGTCTTCCTCTACTTCCGCCTCCACTTCTATTTCCTCCTCTTCCTCCTTCTCGGGTGTCTTCGGTGCCTGTTCTTTCGCAGGTTCTTTCACAGGTTCTTTCACAGGTTCTTTCGCAGGTTCTGCCTTGGCTTCCACTTCCGATGACACTGATTCGTCCATGGTAATATCAATAGATTTGCTCACGATTATTTCTCTGATTATTCGAATGACGATGACTCGTGGAATCACCGTCTTCTTGCATATCTCCTCGATAATTTCAATAGTGATCACGCGTCGTCCTTTCGACACGTACTGCTCAATAATATACTCCTCCAAATCGGTTCTCAACTCCGGCGATATCGACGTCTCGTCGATCTTCAACGCATCGACATCATCGACAACATCCTTTGCAGCCAATCCTTTTCTAGTAATAATCTCCTTGATCGCGTAAATAACGCGTTCTCGCGAAACGCGCTTGATTCTCGTCACATACTCAATGATCTCAATAGTGATTCGTTTCTTTGTGATAATTAACTCCTCGATAATTTCTATCACCGTGCGACCCGCTCGGTCAACAATCACCTTGATCTCCGCCGGTAACTGAATCGACAATCGACGAGACGTGTCGTCCTTCTCTGGAATTTTATCGGTGACGAACTTCGGTGAAGTGGGAGTGGAACCAGCGGAAACTGTCACGATTTCCGCCTTCCCTGGGGAGATCTTCTGATCGAAACTGATCACCGCGTGCTCTTCTTCTATGTCCAAGGGAATTTGCTCCTTCTTGCACACGAGTTCTATTCCGGCATCCATCACGTCTATCTTTGAAGGCTCTTCTGTGACTGCCTTGCTCGGAAGCTTCAAGTCCATCTTCAAGGTTTCTTCGCAGATCTTCTTCAGGTCTTCTTCGTCCTTCTTTTCGGGGGGAGATACAAGCTTCTCTGGTTTTGTCAATTTTACGCAGGGCTCTTCTTGCGGTTCCATGGGCTCCATGAGTTTGCCTTCGACGAGCTCTTTGACTTCTTCTTGGGGACGAGGGAATTCTTCGGTGATGCCTACTTTTGTCGGCATACCAATCGCTGCAAGTTTCTTGTCTATTTCTTTTTCTTCTTCTTTCACTATCTTTTCTTCTACCTTTTCTTTCTCTTCTACCTTTTCTTCTTTCTTCGCTTTCTCATCTTCCGCTTCCTTCTCCTTTTCCTTCTCCTTCGGTGCCTCGAACAGCTTCTCGTCCGCCAGGAAGTCGTCCTCCTTCAACACCTGCGCAACCTTCTTCACGATCTCCATAACGTCCTTAGGTCTCTCCTCGATGTCGATACCCGCCGTTCCCGCGAGGACCTCTCCAACATCCCTCACCGCCTCCTTCACGTCCTTCAACGGGACTTCGGCAACATCAGTGTCTATAATTTCATGTTCCGCTTCAAATGCCTCGTCCTTGGCGATATCGAATTTCACCTTCTCCGGCTCCTTGCTCTCCGCCGGCACGCTTTCAATCTGTGGTTTGATGGCCTCCAGTTTCTCCACGACGCCCTCCAACGTGTCCTTAACGGTGTCCTTCACGGCTGGGGTTGGAGTTTCTTCAACCGCGATCTTCTCCTCCAGCGACTCCAGCGAGTCTCTCAAGCTGTCTTTCACTGTCTTGAATTTCTTCGAGGCTTCCTCTAACAGAGCTTGTATCTCCTCGGTGTCTTCTTCGACCTCTTCCTTGGGGATCTGTTCTTCGACCTTCTTTTCTGGCTCCTCCTTGACCTCTTCCTTCAATTTGTCTTTGACTTCCTTGACTGGCGAGGGTTCTTTCGGTTCGGGTACTTTTTCAGTTTCCAAAATAGGTTTACTTTCCCTGCGCTCGACTTTCTCCGCGACTTTCGGGACCGTCGCCTCCTCGACGATCGAAGGTTTCCTACGATCCTTCGCCTCTTCTTCGCGATCGACCTTCTCGGCAGGCTTGCCCACTTTCGGGAACATTTTGTCCACGTCGACCTCTTCCAGCAGGGTCTTCTCCTGCACCTTCGCCTCCTTCGGTGAACTGGACTTCGAAGAAGACTTGTCGTCGACGTCCTTGTCTTGCTCCTTCTTCGACTTCTTCGTCAATTTATCGATACCCTTTTCAAATTTATCAGCGACTTTGCCGAAGAAGCTGAACATTCCTTTCTGCTCTTTGATCGGTGGAGTGGGAGGCTCTTTGACTTCCTGCATCGGTGGAGACACCTTCTCCTCCTTCTCCTTCTCGAAGTCCTCCATTCGGTACAGTTTGGGGTCGACTTCTTCATGAACTGGCAAGTCAGCCACCTCGTCGGGTGTCTTCACGATGTCGCGCTGCATCATCTGCGCGGTCTGTCGTACATCGAATCGCTGGACTTCCGGTTTAACGGCGACTGGCGGAACGGCGCGTTGCCTTCGACGAGCTCTTTGACTTCTTCTTGGGGACGAGGGAATTCTTCGGTGATGCCTACTTTTGTCGGCATACCAATCGCTGCAAGTTTCTTGTCTATTTCTTTTTCTTCTTCTTTCACTATCTTTTCTTCTACCTTTTCTTTCTCTTCTACCTTTTCTTCTTTCTTCGCTTTCTCATCTTCCGCTTCCTTCTCCTTTTCCTTCTCCTTCGGTGCCTCGAACAGCTTCTCGTCCGCCAGGAAGTCGTCCTCCTTCAACACCTGCGCAACCTTCTTCACGATCTCCATAACGTCCTTAGGTCTCTCCTCGATGTCGATACCCGCCGTTCCCGCGAGGACCTCTCCAACATCCCTCACCGCCTCCTTCACGTCCTTCAACGGGACTTCGGCAACATCAGTGTCTATAATTTCATGTTCCGCTTCAAATGCCTCGTCCTTGGCGATATCGAATTTCACCTTCTCCGGCTCCTTGCTCTCCGCCGGCACGCTTTCAATCTGTGGTTTGATGGCCTCCAGTTTCTCCACGACGCCCTCCAACGTGTCCTTAACGGTGTCCTTCACGGCTGGGGTTGGAGTTTCTTCAACCGCGATCTTCTCCTCCAGCGACTCCAGCGAGTCTCTCAAGCTGTCTTTCACTGTCTTGAATTTCTTCGAGGCTTCCTCTAACAGAGCTTGTATCTCCTCGGTGTCTTCTTCGACCTCTTCCTTGGGGATCTGTTCTTCGACCTTCTTTTCTGGCTCCTCCTTGACCTCTTCCTTCAATTTGTCTTTGACTTCCTTGACTGGCGAGGGTTCTTTCGGTTCGGGTACTTTTTCAGTTTCCAAAATAGGTTTACTTTCCCTGCGCTCGACTTTCTCCGCGACTTTCGGGACCGTCGCCTCCTCGACGATCGAAGGTTTCCTACGATCCTTCGCCTCTTCTTCGCGATCGACCTTCTCGGCAGGCTTGCCCACTTTCGGGAACATTTTGTCCACGTCGACCTCTTCCAGCAGGGTCTTCTCCTGCACCTTCGCCTCCTTCGGTGAACTGGACTTCGAAGAAGACTTGTCGTCGACGTCCTTGTCTTGCTCCTTCTTCGACTTCTTCGTCAATTTATCGATACCCTTTTCAAATTTATCAGCGACTTTGCCGAAGAAGCTGAACATTCCTTTCTGCTCTTTGATCGGTGGAGTGGGAGGCTCTTTGACTTCCTGCATCGGTGGAGACACCTTCTCCTCCTTCTCCTTCTCGAAGTCCTCCATTCGGTACAGTTTGGGGTCGACTTCTTCATGAACTGGCAAGTCAGCCACCTCGTCGGGTGTCTTCACGATGTCGCGCTGCATCATCTGCGCGGTCTGTCGTACATCGAATCGCTGGACTTCCGGTTTAACGGCGACTGGCGGAACGGCGCGAGTGACGGCAGGGCCGACGGAGACCGGCGCCGTCGCGCTGGCTAAGGCAGCGTCTGTTGGAACAGCGCTAACAGCACTCACCGCTGCGGCGATTTCTTCTTTCTTCGCCGGTGCGTCTTTCTCCTTCACGTCTTCTATGACGTGTTTCTCGTCGATGTCTTCCTTTATCTCGTCCAGAGGTATACGTTCGTCCTCCGGCAGGGTGGGCGCCGTCGTCGTAGCGCCGGATTCGATTGTGGAGATACGCTCTTGCGACTCCTCCAGCTTCTCCGGCATCTGCTCCTTTTGATCGGCCTCTGGTTTCATGTCGGTGTCGCTGGTCTTCTTCTCGAAGGAGTCCAGCTTGTCGGGGCTCAGACTGGACGGCTCTTTGGTGATGTCCTCGCTGTCCCTCTTGACGGAGTCCTCGGTGTCCTCGCGCCTACGTTGCGCCTCGGTCGCCAAAGCGGCGATCGCTTCTTTCTCTTCCTCCAAGCGTTCTCTGCGGTCGGGGGAGAGATCGATGGGTTCCGCTGTTTCTTCTTCTTCTCTTTCTTCCTCGCGCTCCTCCTCTTCCTCTTCTTCCTCTTCCTCCTCCTCTTCCTCTTCTTCTTCTTCCTCTTCCTCCTCTGCCTCTTCCTCCTCTTCTTCTTCTTCCTCCTCCTCCTCATCCTTTCTTGCTCTTACCGCTAATTTCTTTTCCACACTCTCGTCTTTCTCCTTCTCTTCGACTTCCTCTTCGGCACCCTTCTCTTTCGCCGTTTCTGTGTCCTTCATCAACTTCGCCTTCTCCGACTCTGCTTCATCTAACACGTGCTTCTGTTCACCGTCTCCGCTCTGAGCGGAGTCCTCCGTGTACACCTCCTCCTTCTCGACGATCAGATACTCGTCCTCCTCCGTCAGTTCCTGACTGCCTTTCCTCAAGCTGTCCTTCTTGGGAGCGTCCTCGATCTCGGCGGTCACGTCCTCTTCAGTAATGTCCTCCTCCTTTTTATCAGTTACCTCCGCGGTAATCTCGTCGTCTCCTTCGAAGCGGTCCTCCTTCCTCGCGCCCTCTTCAATGCGCTCCGCTTTCTGGAGAACCGCCTCGATCTCCTCAACAACCTCTCGTTCCTCCTTCAAATCGGCGAGCACCTTGCTCTCGATCGAGTCCAACGAGACGTCCTCCGAGCGTTCCATCAGGCTCTTATCGATCAGCCTGGTTCCGACTTCGGGTTCGATTCCAGAAGGCGTGGACACTGTCGAGGAATCCGTGGTGCCTCTGTCGCCCTTCACCTTCCGCACAACGCCGTCCTTATCAGACTTGACGGAAGCAGTAGGTGTACTGCGAGTCGACTTCGCAGGACTTCCAGGAACGCGAGCTTTGCTCGGACTAACTGGTTTCCCTCGACGGCTGATAGCCTTTCGATCCATCGGTTTCGGCTTCGTGATCGGCGCCGCTTTCGCTGCAGTGACAGCCCCGGCGCTTATCGCGGACTTTTCTATGTTCTTCTGTTCCACCACCTTCCTGTTGTTCGCGTCCTTGGTGCTCTTGGCCGGCGGTGCGGTTACCGATTTGTAAGCCGGCGCTGGTTTTGCTTTCGCGACTCCTCGCATCTCCGTCTTCGTCGCGACTCCGTTCACCACCTTCTTAGGCGTCGTCGGTGACGACTTCACGGTTGGACCTGCAACCTCCTTTTTCTCAGGTTTCGCTCTCTTCTCCGCAGGCTTAGCCTTCGGAGCCTCGATCTTCGCAGGCTTTGTGGGAACCTTAGCGTCCTTTCTTCGAGTGTCCACCCTCGACGGCTTCGAGGGTTTCGGTTCCTTCGGAGCTTCCGGTTTTGCGACCTCAGCCTTTTTCACTGCATCCTTGTCTCGTTTCTCGGATCGTTCCACCTCCGCCTTCTCTTGCTGCTTCTCTTTCTTCACGGCCTCTTGTCTCTCCTTCGCCTCCTTCAGCTCCTTCTCCATCTTCTTGCTCTCCTTCGTCTCTTTCCCCTCCACCTCGAGTTTCCTGCTCTCCGGCGCCGCCTTCTTCATCTTCGCCTCCGCTTTAGCCTGCGCGGCCGCCGCCGCCGCCGCCACCGCCGCCATCGCGGCTTGAGGTTTCGTCGGTATAATCGGTGTCGGAGTCGATTTCGCTTCTAGCTCCTTCTTCTCTTTCTTCGCCTCCGCCGCCACCTTCTTCGCCGTCTCCTTCTCCGTCAGCGCCAACTTCTGTCTCGCCGGCTTGTCGCGCAGCGTCGCCAACGACGCGGACGGCGAGAGACTCTTCGCCGAGCAGACCGGGTGCTTTAGGAACTCCAAGTGTTTCAATCGTTCGAAGCCCTCGAAGATCTTGTGTTGCGGTGTGCTTCCGGGGAATAGGATTCTGGTGATGGTGTCTTCAGGGTTAGCGGGCTGCCACACCAGCAGCGCGCATATGGAGACCAGGTTCTGGATCGGGAACGTTATGTTGTTCGAGTCTTTTCGGTGAGACTCGGCGAACAGCTTCGAGTCCGCCGCGTGCCACTTGGCTAAAAATTCTCTGACTTTGCGACTGTCCTTGCTGGGGCTTAACACGTACATGTCCAGCGTGCCGTGGCCCACTTTGTGGTACAGATTAATCGGCTCCGGGTCCCTGTAGCACGGGTGCGCCTTCAGGTTGATGTGACGGAGGTCCACGACGATCTGCTGGCCGATGTCGGTGAGATTCAAGATCAACGGATCGATATCTTTGTCCCCGTCCGGCGAATTGGATTGTCTTCTCTCCTGTTACGTCAATCAATTGATATACTTTAAACACAGACTTTATTACGTAACGGCGAATTAGTAACTCTAATCCTTCCGCGTGTTCGAATCGAAAATTTCAGATACTTACAACTAGATTGCAGAAGAAGTGACCAATCTGAGGATAAACGTGCATCTCCTTCTTCTTTCGAAGAACGCTAGACATGCCTCCCACGTTGCCGTTGTTTATTCTGGTGAGTAGCACCGCGTCGAGGCGGTCCAAGTGTCTGGTGAAGTCCCAGAAACAGGCCTTCCGCGCGAAACCGCCGTCCACCAGCATGTTGAAACCGTTTATGCCGAAGAGAGCGGCATCGCCCTGGCCGCCGGGGAAGACGTACAATGTTGGATGACTGAATCTGATGTTTCCTACGACGTCGGACGGCTCCATCAACTGGTCCAACGTCTGGGCGACGAGGTACTGTCCAATGTAACTCGTGAAACTCGTAATAGCGGGCACTCCCGCTGTTAGGACGTCGTCGGGGTTCACCCGAACTCTGCAGGATCTACAGAAATTACCACGGTTAACTCTTTTTACTTTTATTTTGGAAGTTCACGAAATATACCTGGTGCAAGCTTCTTTCGAGAGTCGATTCGTCGTCCATTCACCGACACCGGCGCAATGAACGTCCACAGTAACGCTGTTTTCGTAGGCACGAAGAACTCTCTGCACCTCGTGCTCGCTGAAGGCGTCCAGAAAGTCTGCCAGACTGAAGGTTCCATCCTGAAACGATACGTCGTCGATCAGAAACGTGGACCAACGTTAGAGTAAAGGTTAGGAGGAAGGATGAAGAGAAAGGAATTAAGTTCATACTTAAAGACTACTCGTTGTTCCGACGCTAACGTTCTACCGTAGAGTAACGCGTCCTTCGGCAAAATTACTAAAAGGTATGGCGACGTACTTGCAATATCCAGGAACCATTTCCACCGAAGGTGTAGCCGGCGTGTATAATGTGTCGATGTTTCGTGAAACTCGCAAGTAGATTACGAATGCACTGTAACAACGTGTTCGTTTGCGGATGAATGAGAACCTCCGTAACAAGGTTCTCGGTGGCGTATTGGATCAGTCGTTCGCCTAAAATTTTGTTCGTCACGTTAGCGGAAACAGTTCGCGGCTAATCATCGCGCGTGCCACGATTCGAAAGTTTTTTAATAGCGGATGATTAGCGATATTCTTACACGATTATTTAATACAAATACCGTTTCTGGCTTCTTCTCCTTCGGGAGCTTGCGCTACCAGCGCCGATAACTCTTTTTCTAAATCTACGTGACAACTATCCTTATCCCACGACAGGAAACCTGGAACACACGAAACATTTTACGGTCAGAGAAGCGTCACGCGCGTGCGCGCACGGTAATCGGCGTTTTTACCGATGTAGACTGTTTCGATGATCGAAGTTTTATGGGATACGTCGGTTTATCTCTTGTCGATCATCTCGTATCTGATACTACAATATTGGGTCATATGCGTAACGCTAAGGCTTCGCACAACATACTGTTCAGGGCCGAAGAATAAGGTAAGGTGAAGGTTAAGAAAGCGATTCTTTCTGCCATCAATTTGTCAAAATAGTCTGAGGTTGAACGTTGCGTTAATCCGATAAGCTAATTGGCTTTCTTGAAAAATGAAACGTATACGTTTTACTGCATAGAGGATTTAAAGTCGTAAAAACTGAAATGTCCAAAAATGGTCCTAATTGAAATACCACGAGCGAGACAGCGGAGTTGCGTGACGTCACGAATACCGCACCCCGTCACGTGGTTCCGTGCTAGTCAGCCAGCCAGCCAGCCGGCAATCGATCGACTCGACGCGACGTAACTACAGTATATCCTGCACCCACTCTCGACACCTTTTACCTATCGAACGAAAATTCATCTTCTTTCTCGTTTAATAACGTTTAGCCGATAAAAAAGAAGACTCCATAATGGAGATTCAAATGAAGGCTAAAATCGATAGAACTGCAGAATCTGTGCAGACATTTGCTTGAAACTCTTGCACGAGAAGAGAGCATATTCGTAAATCTTCTAAGAGTAATTTAGAGGATTTGTCGGGACGATTTCTTTAACTGGTATAAGAGCCGCAATCGTGGCCCTCGACTGAAATCGTCGAGTTGAACCTCGCCAGCAAATTCTCTATGTCAAATTGATCGGAAGCCCTAATGATGATACGGAGAGAAGCCGTGCGTCGCGGTCGGGGGTCGTACCTTTTTAATGCGCGACGCAACCCCTGCGCACCTTCTTTACCAAAGATACTTTACTGAACCCTTATTTCGTTACGCGTATCCGTTTAATCACCCTCTACGTTTCGCTTCGCGTCGACTATTCTTACGTATTTCTGAAAAAAATGACGCCCCATTACAAATCTTTGAAAAAAAATTCAAACCTGATAAAATGAGACCCAATTATGTATTTCGTTAGGTAATAATTTGAGAAAGTTATTATACAAACAATACGAGAAATGCATATTAATGTTGCATGTAACAATGGTGCAGTTTTGCAACTTCATGTCAGTACATATTTTGAAGCAATTGTAATTATAATTCAGGAAAATGTTTATTATAGTAAAAATGCAACAATGTTGCACTTTTGCAACTTCATATGTTACTACATGTTTTAAAATGACTGCAATTACAGTTCAGAAAAATGCATGTTTAATTAAAAATACAATAATGTTGCACTTTTGCAACTTCATATGTTACTACATGTTTTGAAATAGTTGCTATTACAATTCAGAAAAATGCATGTTTAATTAAAAATGCAACAATGTTGCATTTCTGTAACTTCATATGTCACTACATATTCGGAAACAATTAAAATTAAAATTCAGAGAAAAACATATTATACTGAAAATATAACAACGTTGCACATATGTAACTTCATATGTTACTACATGTTTTAAAATAGTTGCAATTACAATTTAGGGAAATGCATATTAATAATATTGCATACAACAATGTTGCACTTTTGTAGCTTCATGCCACAGCATATTTTAAAATAGTTGCAATTATAATTCAGAGAAAAACATATTTTAATGAAAATATAACAATGTTGCACTTTTGAAACTTCATATGTGGCTACATATATTGAAACTGTTGCAATTACAATTCAGAAAAATGCATATTAATAATGTTGCATATAACAATGTTGCACTTTTACAGCTTCATGCCACCGCATATTTTAAAATAGTTGCAATTATAATTCAGAGAAAAACATATTAAAATGAAAATATAACAATGTTGCACTTTTGAAACTTCATATGTGGCTACATATATTGAAACTGTTGCAATTACAATTCAGAGAAATGCATATTAATAATGTTGCATATAACAATGTTGCACTTTTGCAACTTCATATGTGACTACATATATTGAAACAGTTGCAATTAAAATTCATAGAAAAACATATTATACTGAAAATATAACAATGTTGCACACATTCAACCTCATAAGTCATACCATAAAACAGTTGCAAAAGAAATATCGCAGTACTGCAATATAATTTAAGGGTAGATTTCGCACACCGTTCAAAAAGTCCTTTCACGTAAAAATTGAAGCCGGTAAATGGTGAAGCAAAGCCGTACTTAAAAACGGTATACTAGTAGAAGATACAGAGTTAAATATAGACAAAATCGTGGGTTTCTTCGTCGGAGCATTTACCCCTCTCGTAGCATCTTTTAGAAGCCGCATCGCGTTTCTCGATTTGCATCGACTTCCTTTCTCTTTTTTAATCCTTTTTTGCTTTCTTTCTAACTTCGAATACCCAGAACGTTAGGGACCCAACTATGTTTAGACCGTTCCTCGTTATCCTGCAACGCGACGTTCTCGAACCTCGAACACCGAATTTATAGAGTTTATCCGAAGGACATCTCTTAAGGTCGCAAAATGGCGTTCTGCGTGAAATATTCTAATGAATATGTCGTGGCACGCGACGTTATAAAATGTGAGACGCTTTTGTTGCCAAACAGGGTCAAAAAGTTTTCAACGAGTTTTCTTCGAACACTGCTGACAACGCTGTTCTCGATTGATCTCGCGAGAAAAGGAAACGTCGAACGAGGTCGATGACGAGCAGCGCTGTTTTAACCTCTCTTATAATCGCTAACTCGCTTTTCTTCTCTAAATCGAATATGTTTAAAACAGATTTTCGCTTGATAAAATTCAGATACTCGGTAAAATCGACCCGATTTAATAAATTAGAAAGGAATGCACGTTTAAGGAACATGAACGATATTCGAACACGCTCGTCGCGATGTAGATCGACTTATACGCGGCTATTTATACTTTTAAGAGACAAGGGCGAAGACCCGATCCAAGGATTCGTCAAACGTGATTCAAATTGATTCACGAAACATTATTAACGCATTCGATCGATCGGACTATAGACGTTCTCTAATCTTCCAACTCGAAATAGAATTTGTTAATTTTCATTTGTCAAAGACAGCTATCCTTAATCTTTCTGTACTTCAAAAAAATCAGTTATAGAATTATCTTATGCATTGTCATAATTGTAGAAAAAGTAGAACGGAAAGTGTAGAACCGGCAGAAAGAGGAAGGAGAAATCAATACCAAAAGGTGTTCTTACTTCGTATACAGTTTCAAGATTACATGGTATTAAAATGTACGGTACGATAGAAGGGTCAGGTTCAAGAACGAACTATAATCGAGAAACGGGGTTTCACGACTCGAAGAGCAGAAGAGCGCGATGCACGAGAGAGCGATCACTGGCGAATGTCGTGATAAAATTAGATACGCTATATTCGGTTGAACGTGCATACAATGAAATTGTAACGGTCATGTTCACGAATTTCGACCCGATCTGCGGATTATTTCCTCGTTAGTTCCCTGTACCATAAGTAGGTAAACGCGATACGAATTTTGATTTCCTTTCGCCTTTCATATCCGATGTGCCGTTATCGGTTCCGCTTGAAAAACCTATACCCGGTAGCTTTATTTGAATCAAAAATTTCTTCCATACTTCACAGACTCAAAACGATATAACCCTTCCGGATATTACAGGCATCGAATAACTTCAACTTTCTCGATGCTCCCCACGTCCTCTCAATCATGATTCATACCGACAACTATGTCTTCCTATCTTGCCTATGTATGCGAGGATCACCTCTGTCTGTAAATACGCGCTTACACTACGCACCTTCATAAACGTTATTACATCAATCTTTTTCCAACCATTACCTTACCATGAATATTTATCTACGCGAATAACCTAACACTAATCACCACTTTGGTGAAAAAATTCTATGTCAGGTGGATTTATTTTTTAAGTCATTCGTCAGATGCATTTATTTTTTAAGTCATTCAGATGGATATATTGAATATTTATCTACGACAATGTTAACCTAACTTGCCACTTATCACGATTTTACTGAAGAAATTCTATGTCAAATATTTCAGGTGTATTTATTTTTTAAGTAATTCATGAGATGTATTTATTTTTTAAGTAACTCATCAGATGTATTTATTTTTAAGTAATTCATCAGATGTATTTATTTTTTAAGTCATTCTTCAGATGTATTTATTTTTAAATAATTCATCAGATGTATTTATTTTTAAAGTAAATCATCAGATGTATTATTTTTTAAGTAACTCGTTAGATGTATTTATTTTTTAAGTAATTCATCAGATGTATTATTTTTTAAGTAACTCGTTAGATGTATTTATTTTTAAGTAATTCATCAGATATATTTATTTTTTAACTAAATCGTCAGATGTATTATTTTTTAAGTAACTCGTTAGATGTATTATTTTTTAAGTAACTCGTTAGATGTATTATTTTTTAAGTAACTCGTTAGATGTATTATTTTTTAAGTAACTCGTTAGATGTATTATTTTTTAAGTAACTCGTTAGATGTATTATTTTTTAAGTAACTCGTTAGATGTATTATTTTTTAAGTAACTCGTTAGATGTATTATTTTTTAAGTAACTCGTTAGATGTATTATTTTTTAAGTAACTCGTTAGATGTATTATTTTTTAAGTAACTCGTTAGATGTATTATTTTTTAAGTAACTCGTTAGATGTATTATTTTTTAACTAAATCGTCAGATGTATTATTTTTTAAGTAACTCGTTAGATGTATTATTTTTTAAGTAACTCGTTAGATGTATTTATTTTTTACGTAATTCATCAGATGTATTTATTTTTAAGTAAATCGTCAGATGTATTTATTTTTAAGTAAATCGTCAGATGTATTATTTTTTAAGTAACTCGTTAAGTATATATATTTTTTTCTTTTTCATACGTTTTATCTTTTACGAGCCTCTTTGTCAAACATACTTTAAGACAGTTCAACAATAATTTATCAAATTGATTCATTATAACTGACTACTACAGAAACTGATACAGAAATACAGTAAATATAAGACACAAGTTTTACCAAGAATTATGTAAAATGCTGCAGAGACCACCTTACATGTCTTCAAGTTGACTTGTACTCACACGAGTGTAGCTAAACATGCTCATATGTTTTCACGTTGTACGTTGCATGCGCCATGTCAGAAATAATTGCTAGATTATCGCATTTTAATTCGGAATAAGTATGCGAATGAATTCTCTTCTTTCCGCTCTGCCAAACCGTGATACGTGAGCGTGAGTCACGTGAAACTCACACGTTTACGCTCCTCGCATACAAAATTGACTCGGATCCATTACTCGAGCGAAACCAATATCCCCTAAAAGCCATGAAAGAAATTTCACCGCGACGCGTGCAACGAACCGATGATCGATAAGAGACGGAAACACTAATTCCGTAATTTCGCGATTAAAAATTGATTGTTCGGTTTATTCTGAGCCATCCCTAGCAACCCTTCGCCTGACTAGTGTTTCGCGTGCACGCGCTTCGTTCAATTTTAAGCAACCCCGTTCCCTTGGTTTCCTCGGTATGCCCGCGTATAAATATACACAAGCGTTGTTCATTCAACCCGAAACGTACAAAACGTACGAAACGGATGACGAAATAATATCGTCATTGTACCGTAGCGACAGTTTTCGCTAGATACCGTAGACGGATTATTGATCGGAGTTCTGGGGACTGCGGGGATGTGGCTGTAGGCCGGTCTAACATGCGCAAGCCGCACCGACTTACAGCTTTTTCCTTTTTCCACGCATTTATCTCCCTCCTGTTTCTTCGTTTGTGCTCAATTTTCTTCCCTCGCCCTTATTTCTTTAATTCGCCCAGCGAATTACGTAACCTGCACGTGCACGCGCCTCTGTACCTTCCCAAAGGGACAACCTCTTTCAAAAGGAACGAAAATTCGAAATGAAACACTAGCTTGCCCTGAGTAGCAGTAAGACATTTTAATTAATCTTCATAATCACTCAATGCTAACATGTCCTTATACTACTGTAACGTACTATATTATACATTAAACACTATTATATTTAACGAACTATAAACCTGCCAACAAATATCAAACGCAGGCAACAATATTCCCGTATGCATATCGGTTTCATCAAACCATAACACCGAATATTTTAAACAATCTCAATAAATCCTTGTTAAACGCTGATCCGCACCGACTATCCGATTGAAAAATTACAGTGTTCCAAAACCCGTGTTTCTGTCCCCAATTAATGAATAAATGATCGAAACAACCGGTTACTCGCTAACGAGTTCAAACTCCGCCTAGCAACAAAGCAGCGAGATCGCCGGGTGAATTGATTCGATAAATCGCAAGAAGCAGAGAGAGACGAAGTACTTACCTTTTGCGAGGCGATTCAAAATGAGATCCGTGTGTTGCGCTGTATGAGGTTCTGGAAGCACGACGAGAAGGTAACAACCGCTCAGCGGTGACGGTGGTGGATGCTGCTGTTGAGAACCCGGTGGTACCGTCGTACCGCCGATTACCGGTGTAACCGGAGATGCATTTTGTTCAACGTTTGTCGGCGATGCGGTAGTTGTCTCCCCTCCCCCTCCACCCCCGCC